CTTCGCCCCTTCTGGCATCTTGTTGCTAGTAAGGCCTCCTCTGACGCGCTCCCCCTGCTGACGGCAGGGGTCGGCGGATTACACATATACACTACATACTATATAATATATACACATAGTGATCATGCTGTACTGCAGGGGTTCCAAGGATTTCAGTGCATTTGTTTTCCACCGGCATGCCACACTTCCAGGTGAGTCAAGAGCAGCTTGACAACGCGAGAAAGGCCAGCCATATGGATACTGGGGATCAAAGTGGAAAGCTAAAGAGCCAAGGTACTTTAGGTACTTTAGGTACGAGGTTTACCTTCAAAACCACTTTTCATGAGGTGAGAGGCGTGAGAGGTGTTGAGCCCACTCATACATTTGATTTGTACACGACCATCCCATATGTGTTGCAACATCCCGCGACAAATCAATGGAAAAGATAAGGAAGCACAAATTACCAATCCAACAATCAATACCCCATCAATGATCCGCCGATTGTAATCAAGAGTCCAATCAAAAGCCATTGCCACTCAATTGACTTGAGGTCATCAATTGCTTAAATCTGGGTTGCGAACAATAATATATGTAATATGTAATATATTCATATATACATACGTATATATATATATATACGTAGATTGAAGCCATCATATACATCTACATGCATCTAAATATACATCTACATCTGATATGTTTTCAATATCATTTATGTATATATATATATATATATATGTATATATACACATACACACGCGTATATACACGCGTATACATGTATATATATATGCAGATAACGCTATTATATGGTTGTGTATATATATATATATATACACATATAATCTGTATATATATATACAACACTATTATATGTGTGTATAATATATATATATTCTACATACACATAGAATCACATACACACACATATAATATATATATATACATGTGTATACATAATGTGAACGAAGTATTTAGCCATATTTCGCCAGCCATATTTTCAGGGGTCCAAGGTGTGGCAGCAGTTGCTGGGCAAGTCACACCATGTTCGGGTGTACATCGCCTATAGTGACTTCGAGGCGAAGGATTTCATCCATCTGGGTTTAGGCATGGAAACAATTAAAAAGCCCAAAAGTACAAACAATAGCATCAAGCTTTCATGATTTATGAATATGTTTGAACTAGTTGGAGTTTTAGATGGTTTTAGATCATTGCAGATCCATCATGGGCGAACAATGGCAGAAAAGATCTGCGTTTTGTTTCTCTCGTGATGTTATTCTGTGATCTTACGATCCCAGAGGAGCTGCTGTAGCAGTCCTTACCACCAGGAATGAAACCTGAACAAATCGCCCAGTCATCTTGCAAGGCGGTGACATGCCAATCAATGGAAAAGGCCAGAGAAGCTCTAGATGATGGCCAAAAGCACTTCAAGGCCCAGGGTCTATGCGGGCATAGGGGGGCATATGCGGGCATATGGAGGTTTTGTCTCTCCTTTTTTGGGTGCGTCGTTGCATTCGTCAGGTGGAAAACCGCAACGAGGAGCGTGCCATGCTTCTGGAGCACTTGCCGGCTGGCCCAACCATCAGAAACCACTAAGCTTTGGGTGGTTTTAACCATCGACATCCATCGCAAAAAGGCTGGATCACTTTGGGTTGGTTGAATAATCGCTGATTCAACATCCATGCACTGGTGACAACAAGTCTTGTTTTGCAGGTGCACCTGTTGGAGATGTAAACAAAACATCCCAGTGCTCAGAATCAACTCAAAGAAACTCTACTTGTAGCCTTTGGATTGCTGGAAAATTGTGATATCACCTGCATGCCAGCTTTACCAGCCGATCAATGCGTGAGCAAGCCTGATACTGGAGTTCCAAGCAAACCTTCATCTTCACCTTTCTCTTCATAATTATCTTTATCTTCCTCTTTATCACGAAAGCTAGCGTCAGCTAGCTGGAGTCTTCTTGCTTTAGCAAGTATTGGGGGGGCTGCTCAAGGACATCACGTGATTTTTCACGCGAAAGGGGGGCCCCCCCCCTCCCCTCCCCCACCACCACCACCATCACCATCACCACCATCATCATCATCATCGTCATCATCATCGTCATCATCATCGTCATCGTCATCGTCCTCTCCATCGTCCTCGTCCTCGTCCTCGTCATCATCATCATCATCATCATCATCATCATCATCATCATCATCATCATCATCATCATCATCGTCATCCTCGTCATCGTCCTCGTCATCGTCATCGTCATCGTCATCGTAATCATCATCGTCATCATCATCATCATCATCATCATCCTCGTCATCATCATTCATCATCATCATCCTCATCATCATCATCGTCATCATCATCATCATCATTATCATCATTCATCATTCATCATTCATCATTCATCATTCATCATTCATCATTCATCATTCATCATTCATCATTCATCATTATCATCATTCATCATTCATCATTCATCATTCATCATCATCATCATCATCATCATCATCATCATCATCATCATCATCATCATCGTTATTCAATTACATTTTATCATTATTGGCAATTATTGTCATTATCACGAAAGCTAGCGTCAGCTCGCTAGAGTCTTCTTGCTTTAGCACGTATTTCGGGGCTCCCCAAGGACATCACGTGATTTTTCCCGCGAAAGGGCCCCCCCTGCCCCCTCCCCCATATATATCATTGTTATATATCATATATCAATATATTATTGTTGCATCCTCGTTGGGACGAACAATGCCGCGACACGATGATGACAGTCCCTCCGCAACTCACCTCTTCCCTTCCTTCTTTCTCCTACCCCGCTAGCTTTCGTCATCCACCCCCGGCCTCAAGTCTTCATCCTTATATCTTCCTCCTCATATTTTCATCCTCATATCTTCATCATCCTCCTCCTCCTCCTCCTCCAAAGCTACTATATAGATGCCCTCAATCCGGAGTTTCTAAGGCTGAAACTGGAAAGAGAGCATGGTGACGACACCTCCATCGAGGTCTCAGCACAGTGAAAGCGTTGCAGATTTCCATCAACTTCCATAAATTTGCTGAAATTCATAGGTATGGCTCAAAATTATTGACCGCCCAGACAGTTTGGATGGTTCAAAACAAAAAAACGCAAGTTTTTTTTTGGTGGGTCCAGAATTCCCAGGACATAGTTTTGATCCACACGCAATTTTGATGGGTTAAAGTCCCAAATTGTTGATGGTAAAACCTCCGCTCTTGTTGGATGGATCACCATTCATTTTTTGTGGTTAAAACACAAGTTTGGATCCATACCCACATGGAGGTTTCCTAAAATAGGGGTAACCCTGAATCATCCATTTTAATTGACTTTTCCATTATAAACCATCCATTTTGGGGTACCCCCATTGTAGGAACCCCCCACATGAGTTGTGGCCATTCTGGAAGGCCGCCGAGAAGCGACAGCCGAAGCGGGAGAAGAAGAGGCCTGGACGAGTGGACCAGCAGTGGATATAGTAGTGGGTATAGTGAGCTAAAATAACCAACAAACAACGGGATATAGCGATATAGTGGGGATACAATGGGGATACAGTGGAAATATGGTGGGCATGTGAAGATATCAGGGGAATACAGGCCAACCGGATGCTGAAATCAGTGGGTTTTTGTACCCTCAAGTAACTGGATGCTGAATGACCGAACCATGGAACATAATGCAGGATGAATGGATAAGTACCAAAAAGGCTAACATTTATCGAAAAGAGCTAACCCCAATTTATCGCAATCGAGCTAATAGACCATTTTAGTTGTTTTACTTTGGAGTACCCAATTGTGTACAAAGCCATATCAATAACAGACAGTGTGAAGTTTTGGTGTGTGAAAAATGGGTGGGGGCCAGGCGAGTCATTCCTGGTGGCGAGGGTGAAGATGGTCAGGAAGCTTATGAGGTGGCGGACTCTGGCGGAAACGGCTGAGTTCTTTTTTTTTGTCTTGGTGGGTCTGAAAAAGATACACCCTTCAGAATGAGTGGTTTTTTTTTGGGGGGCATCCGGAGTTTAATTAGTCAATTTGGGACCGTACTGCAAGCAACTGTTTTTTGGGAGCTTGTTGGCAAAAGCCCAGAGGACAGGTTTGACTCAAGTGCTGCGAGGCAGTTGTTGGAGAAAAACTGTCAGTCAAGTAGCACCAAGACGCTTGAGTTGATTTCAACCTGTCGAAGCTAAGATTTTCCGAGATTTCTTCCAAACGCAGGGATTGTTCGGCACGTGCATTTTTTTGGTCTCAGCACGTTCTTGTTTGACATCAGGAATACATGGACTATGCCTTCCCAGAGGCCATGCTGGGCCATGATTCAGCTGTCATTGACACTGGCAGACTCTCTCGTTGGCCCGCTGGCCCAACCATCAGTGATTCACAGCTGGCCAGGACAACAAGGAACAGCAGAACCTCAAAATCCTGGAGATGGCTCGTATGTGGAAGAAGAGAAAAATTGAAAGCTCGCAGTAGAACGACCCATGCACCAGGACCTGCAAGCTGATGGGAAGTGATGCTGAGTGGCTTGCTAGCAATCATAAGGGGCGTTCTCCGCCTCGAGTAAGTAAAAAATTAGAGATATAGTACTATGATATACTATGATATACTTGGTAGATTTTCTTTACTTTTATAATCTTTTATATACTGTATATCCTTCAAGTATCCTTATTCCATGTTTTTCTTCGATCCCCATTTAGTGGATCTCTGCCTGCACGGCTCCAGGAATTCAGGCGGTGCCGAATCTGAGCGGGGCCTGGGAGCGAAAAAGAGTCTGCGCAGGGGCAGAAAGCATTGGGCATAACGAGAAAGGGGACATAACATAGCAACCAATCAGCAACCCCCAAAGAATATGGGTAAATTACTTTTCTATCTTTTTCGGGTTACTCTAGGCTACAATGACATCTACTAAGAATTAAGAATTGACAGAACTATGGGCAATTTTAGCCAACAAAAACAGGGCAAATTTCAGCACGGGTCTTCAATCAGGATTTCAGCCACATACAGCAGGATTTGACGGACTGACCAACAAACATATAGATATCTCCAAAGGTACAGGAATTTCAGCAGCGAACACGGGAGTGACTTAACCAGACATCTCGCAATCTCAGACTTGTCCGGTGCACCCACACGCCAAGTGCTTGAGGATTCCATTGACACTGGAACAAGCCTCGAATCAGAAACTAGCCGCTTGACACTGTGAATATCATCCTAAAAGAACTCCTGTGGGACTCTTGCACTATTTCAGACGACCCCGACTTGAACAACTCCTATGGCATCATCAAAAGTCACCCGGAGACCTCATCATTCAAGCACAGCTTGCTGGGCAGCGACATCGGCATTTCCGCTGTTTCTGGTTTCCATCTCAACTTTATTCCTGAAGCTTCGCACAAATATTGACAGCATCATGCATGTAATCTGCCAGAACTTCTTTGAAACGAAATGATCACACCTAAAGCAAGACTTCTGCTTTCTTGTCACAGCCTGCAAGGAGTCCTGGTAGAATGTTCAGAGCTCCACACAGCTACAGATTGTTTGAAAACAGGATGCCCCCAAATCCACTGGTAACGGTTGATCTTCATTTTCTCTCTTAAAGTGGCCATGGAGAGAGACCCCATTTTCAGACACCCAATTGGCTCAGCCCTGCCATCCGGCTGATCATGCCAGTCCTATATGGTCGAGGTTTCGGACCATGGACATCCATGGACCATGTCCATTGGCATGCCTTTGCGACGTAGTTGGAACATCCTGATATAGACCATCATGACCATCTTCAATTCCCAAACAAGGCAGTTCGCTGCATCTTTTCTCTTAACTTTTCAATCCATTTGGGGATACAAACTTCCCCAGTTGAGGGCCCGCCAAGTAAATGACCGGTCGAGTCTAGGCCCTGTAACCCTAGACCGCCATAGATTCTGCCGTTGACAGGCTACCTTTGTTGGATCATGGCTGCCTCGTTCAGGACCAAGGATGTTGCAGTGCTTTTTGCTTGGGGGATCGGGGAAATGAGAAAACTGTACGTTTCCTGCTTCTGTTATCTTTAGATGTTAAATTTTGTGCATATCCTGAAGAATGAATAGCCAATAGTCAATAGTCATTCCTTTTTTGCCAAGTGGCCAAATGAGTTTAGAATTTCGAGACATACCCTGAAATTTCTGCTTTTGGCAGACTTTTTCATGGCCAAACGCGGACTGGAAAGCTGTGGCAATGATTCTTCAGAGTAGAGGCCCTTCCGGGTGTCACATATGCGATTCCCGCAAATGCACATGTTTGTGCCTCGAGGATAGAAGCAATTTTCGGATGGGGAACATAAAGGAGACCTTATACATCCCAGGCAAGTTAGAGTTGAATCCAGTTGAATCCAGTGCAAAGCATCAGATCTCATGGCTGAGTACAAAAATCCTGTGCCATCACATGTGAGTCTGCTGGCAGATGGTCCACACGCGTACTTTGGAACATGGACAGCCTGGCGAATGGAAACAAGGCTGGACTTGGGCCACGCGGCTTCCATTTTTGAAGGTCGCCACTAATGATTTCAACGCAAAAATGGCCTAGTTCTCCAGTAGATTCACCTTGATTCACCGATTCCTGAGGTCGCCCTTGTGGATTTCCATGTTTGAAACCCGGGGTATTGAAACTTTCTGGTCAGAAGTCAGAAGTGGATGATCCCAGTTCCCCAATTTTCTATTGTTCTACGTCCCAAGTTGTTTGGTGATCGGTGAATCCCAGAGATCATCCGAAAATCTCAGTAGCTGCAGCCTTCAGGCATCTCCAAAGGTGACAGATGCTGACAAGAGAGTTCACGAATGTTCACGATCTCAAGAAGCTGTGGCAGGCCAGCTCCTGGAACATCAATCTTTGACCTTTTCGGTGTGAGCCATCATACCTTGCTTGAGGCGGTTGAGACTGGATGTGTATGTTCTCTATGTTCTTTGCATGACATGTGAACAAAGTTTTGGTGGAGCGATGGATTCGGTGATTTGGCGATGGATTCTGCAGAATTTGGGCTCGGACAAGCGGCCTGTGCCCTTCCGACCTTCTGAGGCTGCGGTTCACACTGTTTCGGAGTGTCATCGCTCATATCTTTCCACCACAAGAAGTAAGTGCCAACTAGTGCCATTTGTAGGTTTTAGATGGTTTTAGGTGGAATTGTTTTCATACAGATGGGCAGGGTTGTTTCAACCCATGGCAAATTGTGGCTCTTGGGAGGAAAAAATGCCGCCAGGCTATGGCTGTAGGTCTGCGTGCCTCAAGCAATGCGCTCCGTCAGCTGACCATGAGGCGTCGCCGTTTTTTCAACCACCATGCGTTCCAATCTTGGACCGTGCTGATATGTGCTGATGAAAATCATCCAGAGTGCCCTGATCAAGTAGAAGTTTTAAGTCCAACATTGTCCAACAAGTTATATAGCTCAGTCGCTTTTAAACATTTGGATTGTAATTCATTGGTAGTGGTAAAATGGTCCCCAAACTGGCGGGACAGGTAAAACCAAAGGACATCAAAGGACATATGTAGCAGAGTAGCGAAATCCATTTTAGTTATACAATTTCTATCTATTGGGGGGCCACTATCACATCTACTTAACAAACTTCCTGACACTTTCGCTTGGAACCGCACTGACGTTGCTGATCTCGCACTCCAGGACGATTCGGCCTGCTGCTACACCAGTTTTCAGGCGGGAACGACCGATTCCAGGTGTCAGCTATCGTGCCTTGATCATCTTAGAGCTGAAGAGATTCACCAAGAAACTCCTCAATAATACACAAACTCCCATACACATATATACTACATATATGATCATATATATATATATATATCTACGGCATATATATATATATTATGTATATATATACATACACATATATTATGTATATTATATGTATACATACATCTATGTATATGTAGTACATGTACAGACATATGAATATTATTATTATTATTATTATCACTGGCAGTGTTGAGCATGGTCTCTATTCAAGCAAGAGTCTGTATCAGAAGACTGTATCACCCTGGTGTTCCTAGTACCAGGCTTGCAACGAAGTGCTGCCAAGGAACACAGGACCGAGCGGATGCGCAACCAGCGCAAGAGGTCTATGTGTGATGCCATAGGAAACCACCTTTCCGAAAATTCCAGTGAACGAAAGAGCAGCAAAACTCTGAAGGGTGTCGGAGGTATAGTCAGCTGTTATCACCCGTTGTCATCTTCGATTTGGCAGGACTTCAAGGGTGCCTCGTTTTGGAACGTGCGTAGCTTCCACGTGGGCAAAGAGTCCTTAGAAGACGAGAGTAAGAGTCTTGGGGAATACTAGCAGATTTTTTTTTGGTGACTTTGGTGACTTTGGTTTCGCTCATCAAACTAGAAAACTCATATGAACATATATAACATATCCTCAATTTTTCTAGTCCGCCATTTGACATGCATGAATCTGACGAACCTGTTGCGGCTGATATGAGAAAAGAAAGCCTTAGCCCATCCACTGGATTCCAGTGCAGCTGTCATCCGGCCGTTGCAGCGGTGCAGGGATAATACCACGCTCGTGCACTTCCGGGAGCCGAAAACACCACATCCCTTACTGGCAAAGCCACACCAGCAGGGTAATGCCGAGCCACTTGTCTGCGGGAAGTCGCATTTGTCACATCACAACAGTGAGTTGACCAAAGGGTCCTGGTGGTACTCGTAGGTTGTGATTTCGGTGGCTCGTTTCTTTGAGATACTTCGCTCATGCTCACAAGTCAGGTTCAGCATTTTGACACACTGCAACTTGCGGCGTCGGTTGCGTCAGAATCTGCCGTGTGTTGAGGCTGTCCATCAGCTTAAACCACATTTGGAGCGAGGAAGAGATTCAAGAGCGTTTGGACAATCTGTATCAGCATCGGCCAAAGTCTTTGACCGACAAGATCATGCACCGTAGCTTGTCCAATTGGCATCATCAGGAGCTTCAGCGATGAAGCTTGTGCAAGTACAAATTCCGATTGATGCCGTTTGACCTGCTGTGTGGTCATGTATATGTGTGGACCAAAGTTAGTGACCTCCAGCATTTATGTGTATTTTTATGTTATTTCATTCATACTTGAGATGACCAGTTTTGTTGATATACACACCAATGAGCGGGATATAGCTTCCTGTCCCTGGAACTGCTCCCCTTCTCATTGGATCACAACTGGCCAGGGAGTTGCTTCGATCCAAGGAATCATGTGGAGTCTCTACAGGAGCTTCAACTGGGTGACAGGACTATTTGACTATCTCCCGAGTTTTCGGATATTCCAAGTGCTGCTGAGTTGACATTGTTATGACTTGTTCTGTTTCAGATGAGCCAATGGGCCAGGATTTAAGCCTGTGAACACTCCAGCAGCTCGGCATGATTTTGGGCTCCAGAATCATGAAACCCGGAGCCTTCAAGTTAGATGTGCCAGGGTGCCATGATCATCATGATCAAAACTGGGGTGAATTGTCATTTTTCTAGAGGATGGTGAATGGTCATCAGTCCATTAATATTTCACAATATCATCAGATTCACATGCCCATTACCAGATATTACCAGGACTCCCATCATGGGATGGATGATCATATTGTATCCCCTGTACAATGTTTTATGTAACCATGGCACATTTGGATTTGAGATGATTTGAGCAGTATTGAGTCAACACTCCAAACTGAAATGGACTGAAGCATTCACTGACGTAAAGGAAGACACAGCGCAACTGATTCGTGAGGTTTCGGTACCCACGGTGCTCCTTTGAATGCTCAGAAACAACACAATGTGT